TCTCGATGAGGTAATTTCACGTGATTTGGCAAGTTTATCATTCCAATACAATGCAATACGCGCGAAATTTTATAATCAACGTTTTTATAATATTTCTCATACAGCCAATCATTTCTCGATCGATAAGTGCCAACGAGTTTCATTATATTTTTAAATTAAATCGAAAGTATATAGACGCGTTATCCCATCCGCATCGACGATTTTTCGAATCGACTTTTCGAAGATTGGCTGGCCTGCCCCGCTTGGAACTAGCGTGTTCGAGTCTTGAGATCATCGATCAACTATAATGGTGACATAACGGCGAGACACATGAGACTTACTTGACTCTTGGCCCGTCTGCGGTGGCGACGTTATTCGGGGGTCGAAACACCACGCGCTGGGTCTCGCCGCGGCTAGAAATATACTAATATAGGCATGCCGCGGGTATTTCACCACGAGTATAACCCCTTGTGGTCGGATTCGACGATATTTTCCTGCCCATCCCTCGTTTCGTTTTTCCATTATATATAATTTCAGAAGAGAAAAGCTTTAGATGGATGAAAATAAGTCTCGTTGAATTCGTATTGTTTTTTTGGATTATGTATTGTAGTATATGCGTACGTTTAAGAGAAAAGAGAAAGAAGAAAGATATAAACGTGAAAAATTCTGAAAAATTATCCACGACCACAAAGGGTTAACTTTCAACCGATGACGTGAGCGATTAATATTTCGATAAAATTCATACCGTTTTGTTTAATTATTTTCTTTTTATTCCGTGATCTTATTTTCGCCACTCTTTTCTTAATATATATATATATATATTAGATTTCAGTGGAGAATAAAAACAGCTCGACGCGGGTTCCTGCGATTCTTCAAACATGATTAACGATAAACTAATTCTTCTTTGTTATTGAATTACAATGCAAATAAGGAGGTATAGGATAAGATTGAAAAAAGTATCCACTTTTAATCCTTTCACGTCACTGGTCGAAGGTTAAAGGTGTCTAGCAAACGCGCAGTGGACGGTGTCAGTATTCCCAGATTCTTTTATCTCGTCGACGAGTCGTTTTCTCGTTTTCTCTCGAATAATACGACACGGATAGTAAAAACATACGAGAAATTGGATTGGAGAAAAGAAGTGTTTCTATGGTGAGGAGATTTTTTTAAAATTTTGTTTTCGAGCTATATATTCAGGAAAGCATCGAACGACAGAGAAGATGGCTCGTCGCGCATTGTATAAATTGCCGTATAAATTCGGTGAGCCAGGATGAAACGAAAAGATCGAAATTGTACGATTATTATTTCTTTTTTTTTTCAGATAAAAAAAAAATCGATACTCCAGATTCTACACAATTCTTAAATTATTTCGTTTCAGCCTGAGCAGCCGCCGGTGAATTTGACTTTGAAAAAATTTTTCCCCACGTACAAAATGGATGGAAAGCAACGCGGGCTGAAATTCCGTCGAATAATGAATAATCTTGTTGATGTCGAATGAATGCCATGTGTGACATGAATTCGTGTGACGCAAACACATTTAATGGAAAACCAATGTATATAAAGTATAGAAGCGAGAAATGTGTCTTTGGCGATCGTTGATGGATTCCTTTTTTTTTTTTTTCCCTTTTTTTTTCAACACTAATTGCAGGGGTCTTCCCTAGATTATCGTTCAAAAAGCGTATTTCTTTCTTTCACACGTATCCTCATATAATTTTCCAAACTTTCATTTAGCATCAGCTCAAGGATCATTTCGAGAACCTAGTTTCTCGTTTCCCTAAAAATATAATACTTAAAAAAAAAAAAAAAAA